GGGGGTTTTTTCCGTGGGGTGGGGTGGTTTGGGAACACAAGAGGCAGGGGGATTAGGGTTTGGGTTTTTATCTTTTTTAACCAACCTAGACTGGAAATTCTGTCTATGTTGCAATCTAGACGGAATTTCCGTCTAGGTTACCTTTTATTTTATTTTTTTTAAAATAACTTTCCGTCTAGTTTGGCATTCTAGACAGAAAATTCCACCTAGAATGTCTCAAACTAGAGGAACAACCTAGACGGAAATATTTCCGTCTAGTTTGAATCAACATTTTTTCCATCTAGGTTGTTCCGTCTAGTTTGGTTAATTTTTTACTAGTGTGTGTGTGTATATATATATTTGTAAGAAATCTACTTCAAATTCAATGTTCCCGATCGGTTAAAAAAATTGTATAAATTAAGCTGCAATACTTGGAATTGAAAAGTTTTGATGAGGTGAGAACGTCCTTTTTTCCTTTCAGTGTCATTTATCAAAATGCGCAACATCGGTTGAAAATCTTGTTGCTGTAATTAATTTTTTGTGCTGACAATGTAGGTGATTAGACACCGGAAAATTAAGTACTGTACACATGTACACGAAAATAAAGTTCATGGTCTCTGAGCAAATACATGTACGTACGTACACAGTCATGTGTTAACACTACTCGGGTTGGATAGCACACGGGTAACCCACGTCCAACGCGATCCGGACCGATCAAGAAGCGGACCCGATCCATTTGCAACCCCCAGCTACACGGTGCACGTAGCGACGCTCCAAAACAGCATGCAAACCAACGTGCCTCATCTCTAACGCACACGGTCACCTTTTCTCTCTCTAAACCGCACCTCTCCACATCACGCAAACTCGCTCAACCCTCTCTCTCTCTCTCTCTCTCTCTCTCTCTCTCTCTCTCTCTCTCTCTCTCTATAAACCGCCCACCGTGCAACACCCTCTTTAAATACCACCGCACCTTGCCACTTCAAACCACTATCTCTCACTTTCTCTCTCAAAGTTAACACTCCAACTCCTCTCTCTCTCCCTCTCTCTCTCTCTCTCTCTGTAGAATTCGACATGAGAGACTTGGGAGTTGTGAGCGAGCCGGTTATTGATGCGACGGAGAACGTAAAGACGCTATGGCGCCAGATACGGAAGCCCGTGGTGGTGCCCCTGCTCCAGGCCGCGGTCTACGTCTGCGCGGCGATGTCGATAATGTTGTTTCTTGAGAGGGTTTACATGGCGTTTGTGATACTTTGTGTGAAGTTGTTGAGAAGGAAGAGGTATACTAAGTACAAGGTGGATGCTATTCTTGAGGAGTTGGAGGCTACTAGGAACCATCCTACGGTTCTAATTCAGGTTCCAATGTACAACGAAAAAGAGGTATTTTTTCATGATTAGATTATAAGAAATTAATCTGCTTTGATGTGTTTGTACTCTGTTTTTTCAAGGAACTCCCTCATTAGTGATTATCCGTAAAATATTTAAATTGTTTCCGAACTACCTGCACTTTAGTCTACTAGATACTCACAAACAATTAAAAAAATTATCTTGCTTTCAAACTGATAAAATTGTTGTCCTAGCTTCCAATAAAAAAAATCTTGCTGTTTTTTATTTGGTTCTCCCTTCAACATGCAGTCAGAAATATCTTTTTTTTCATACATGAGTATATAATTCCTATCTTCTCCTTGTCAATAGGGCTTTCCAAATCAATAGGGCTGTTAAATGGGCTTCCGGCTCGGCCCGGCCCCGGGCGCCACATGGAAAGCCCGGAAAAAACTTGGCCGGGACAGGCTTTGGGCGAGGGTCCGGGTAGACGGTGGTGAAAGCCCGACCCCGAGCCCGTCGCAGCCCAAGTTTTTAATTATATATATTGAATATTATACTTATTATGTATTTATATATAATTTAATAATGAATGATGTAGATCATAAGTATCATATAACTATATATATATAATATAATATCTATATTATATATATATAATAATAATATATATATATATATATATATATATATATAGTATATATATATAATGTTGTTTATATTGTTATTAATGTATACTTATACATACTTACATATATATTTCTAATGTATACTATATATAAATATATAAATAGTATGATATCATCATTAATAATGTATATATGCTTATATATACTTACATATAATCGAAATTCGGAATTGTAACTGTTCTTCAATCTTCATCCACAGGTTTACAAGTTGTCTATTGGAGCTGCATGCAGGCTTAGTTGGCCTGCGGATAAGATCATAATCCAAGTCCTTGATGATTCTACTGATCCTCACACTAAGGTAATAATGATCGACGCATTCAAATAGTTTGATTTCCCCTTTAAATTAATAAAGGGTTAATCGCAGATAAACTCCGTATAGTATCGTTTGTTTTGAACTTACTATCCGTCCACTTTTATTTATACAGGTAGACCCCTAACTAAGGGATACTTTTGACTCTTGCATCCTCAAAGGGTCTGTTTGTCTAAAAACATTCTCATCATTTTCTCTGAGGTTAAAATAGTCCAAAAAGATTCACTCAAGGATCCACAAGTCAGGAAAAATAAAACAAAGGGGATAGTAAAATTAAAAACTAGGATATTTTATGTAGTGTATGAATCAAGTACTTTTTAGCTAATGTGTTGCTGATATAACACATATTCAGATCGTCATTCTTGATCTAGATATGTTGATGATCGGAACCGTGACAGCTTGAATAAATGCATGTCGCATCAGTAACGCACCAGCTAATTGTACCTAGTGTCTACTAGGTCTTCCCTCTAATATTAATTGTTAACCTTATAAATTGTAATTAGAATAACTAATCGATTCCCCCCTGTTTTATGTGCAAAAACAATATAGCAATTGGTGGAGCTTGAGTGCCAAAAATGGAGAAATGAGAATGTGAACATCAAATACGAGATCAGATCCAACAGAAACGGATACAAGGCCGGAGCTCTACGTGAAGGCTTGAAGAAACATTATGTGAAACAGTGCGAATACGTCGCGATTTTCGACGCAGATTTCCAACCAGACTCCGATTTCTTGACGAGGACCATCCCCTTCCTTATAAGCAATCCTGAGCTCGCTCTCGTTCAGGCTCGATGGAAGTTTGGTAAGATATAACGACGAATTGATCGATAAGGTGTTTCGTGACGTTTTGGTATTTGGTTCCTAACTTGTAAAGTTTTGATGCAGTGAATTCGGATGAGTGTTTGATGACTCGTTTGCAAGAGATGGCTCTGGATTATCATTTTAGCGTGGAGCAAGAAGTCGGTTCTTCAACATACTCTTTCTTTGGCTTCAATGGTAATTTTGATTATTTCACATTTGCAGTAATATTTGAGAATTTTCCACGGCTTATGTAACAAAAAAAAACGACGTACGTAAATTGTAGGAACTGCTGGGGTTTGGAGGCTGCAAGCTTTAACAAATGCTGGAGGATGGAAAGATAGAACAACAGTGGAGGATATGGATTTAGCTGTGAGAGCAAGTCTCAAGGGTTGGAAGTTTGTCTTCGTTGGAGATTTATGTGTAAGCGCTAGACATAGTTATGAACTTGTGTGATGCAGCAAAATTAAGAAATAATACCCATATATTAATTGACAAATATTCGATGGAAATTAACAGGTGAAGAATGAGCTACCAAGCACCTACAAGGCTTACAAATTTCAACAGCATAGGTGGTCATGTGGGCCTGCTAATTTGTTCAGAAAGATGTTGAAGGAAATAATTCTCTGTGAGGTGATCAATTTATTTATTTATTTTCCCCTCTTCGATCTACTTCTATCGTAAGTTTAAGATTTAATTATTTACTTATGCAAACAATATGGACCTAAATGCAGAGGGTGACGATATGGAAGAAGTTTCATGTGATATATGCTTTCTTCTTCGTAAGAAAGATAGTAGCCCACATTGTTACCTTCTTCTTCTACTGTGTAGTAATTCCAGCATGCGTTTTAGTACCCGAAGTCCGCCTTCACAAATTCATCGCCGTCTACGTTCCATCAACGATCACCATTCTCAACGCTATTTGC